ATAAATCTTTACAAAGCAAACAACAACAACAACAAAAACTAAAAGAAATGAAAGTAGAAGGGTTAATCAGAAAAATCAGAAAGCAACTCTGAATAGTCAAGATGGGAAGCTCTTAAATTAGAGTCTAAGGCAACACTCTTTACTTTTAGCCATGTTTTAATTATGCCCATTTGTCAAAATGCTAAACACCACAAAAGCTTAAATAACCATAATCTGCTCATATTATCATGTAACTGGTGCTTATAATAATGGCTTTTAGCACACTCTAAGATTGAGATAACCTCTGAATTTGGAGGAAAAAACCCTATATTTCTAGAGATAAAATTACATTACATTTTTATTCACTCACTGAAAATTTACAATCCATGTAAGATATGTATGACTCTCTATTAACCTGAATATTAAATTAACTCCCCATTCCTTGATCATTTTACCCACATTGCTCCCTTCCCAACACATGCATATGCATGTAAACACTCTGACACTCACAAGACACCCACATGGGTATCACCATTTTTTATTTTCCATAGTTGAAATTGGCTACAATAAAAATAAGGCAAAGATAAACGAATATTTTAGATTACAGAATTTTTAACAGACAAGGCCTTTTTCTCTAAACTTTGCAAGACATTAATAGGGCAGCTTGCATTTCCTCTCCTGTGAGAAATTCACGTTTGGTTCATTTTCAAAGTAAGGAGTCTAGCTGTTAGTAGATTAGCTAGCCTAACAGCTTGCAGACAAGTAGCCAGCTAACATAACAGCTAGGTTACATGCACCTGAAAGTTCTTAGGCAAACTGAATGTTAGTGGCCAAACAGCTGGAGCAAATGCCAGGAAGATTGAAGCCCCTTAGTTACTCAGCCAATGAGGAACCAGGGGAGGGACCTGCATGGGGGGAAGGGGAGGATAAAATAGCTTGCTATAAACTACCCCTGGTGTGTTGGCCCTCTAGGTACCAGTCTGGCTTCCACTGCACTTCCTGAATCTATGTTTTGAGTACACAGGTGAGGCTGTTTCTCACACTCCTCATTCATAGTATCACATTTAAATAATGTGTAATAGAAGAGTTTTACAGACTTTCCAAAGACATTCTGCATTTATTTAAATAACTATCACTTTGTTCATAAACCCTCAAGCGAATTCATTAAAGCCCTCATCACTGAGACAGTGCTGTCATTAATAGCAAAATAATTTCTTAGCCTGACCTTATAAGCCTTTAAGCCCATGCCCCTCACTTGTTAATCCTTTGCAGTCCAACTAGCTTTCCTGAAACCACTCTCACAAAGGTTGCTAATGATTTTCCTTGTCACCCCACCCAGGGATATCTTCACTCCCATCATCTTTCTAAACTTTGTACTCACAACCTACACTGATGACCTTTTTTTCCTCGATATTCTCTCTTCTCCCAAGGCTCATGACAGTGTTGTTCCTCCTTACAGAAGTTTCCACTTTCTCCAGCTCTTCCATGATCCTTACTGCTTGTTAAATTAGGCATAATTAGTTTTTTGGTTTGTCCGCATAGAGGGGAATGGGCATATATATTTTTGTTTCTTTAACTCCAACCTTCTACTCTCTATTATCTCTTAAATGGCAATGCTACCCAACATTTCTCCCAGCTCCACCGTCACCTAGAGGTGTTTCCTAAATTCCAGTTCTCCACTTCTATCTACATATAACATACCAATAGTTGAATACCTCACCAACATTTCACATTCAATGTCTAAAACCAACTAATCATTTTCCTTAGTAAACCAGCTCCTTTTGACTTTAGTTATCCAAGCTCCACACCTGAGAGCCAATTCTTACTACCTAATCTCCTTTGCTTGCTTTATCTAATCACTTGCTGAGAATTCTCTTCCTACCCAGTAGATCCATTCCTTCATTCTTCTCCATTTCACCCCTTCCACTACCACCAGTTCAGATTTTCCCTACGCTGATGCAACTACCTATAGACTGGTCCCACCTTTTACTTTTCCATTTCTTGCAAGATCTAACACAGTACCTCAGCAGGGTAAGACCTCAACAATGTTTGTAAAATGAACTAAATAAAGGAACAAGTCATAAAGTTTGCAAAGAGTAGGAAGTTGTCAAAATAAAGGTCACAGAAGGTAAACTGCTGAGTTTTTAAAAGCCTGGATCTTAACGGAGAAGGAAGAGATGCTAGCTTTAAAATTAAAAGTGAATTATATCAACACTTTGGAACTTGTTTTGTGACAGAGAAAAAAATCTGACAAATAAACCTTTTAGCACTTTGGAAAGGAACATGCAAGATTCTTAATCTTTTGGAAAAAAACTCACTAAAATTCTGAAGAAATCTCACTGTTGGGATATTCACAATTATGGTCATTCCCAACGCTCAAGATACAATTTTCTCAATCCAGGAGCAGTTCTTTAGGTCTAGCATGTTCTGTTCCTCAAATAGATGACTACAATGCCCTCAAAATTTTCAGTTACTGTGCTTAGATGTCACTGTGAGAAAGGTCACTTTTTGCAGCAAATAAGATAGGAAAACCTTATCAAAATAGTTCTCTTGGTCACTTTTTTTTTTTCTTGTTGGCTATTTATTTCAGGTTAATGATTTTTTAAATAACCTATCAGAAAATGTTTCTATGTGGAAGTCCCCAGTTGAATGCTTGCTTTCTTACCAAGACAGCTTGTAGAAAACTTTGAAAAGTTCTTTTTCGGGGCCGGCTCTGTGGCACAGTGGGTTAATGCCCTGGCCTGAAGCGCCAGCATCCCATATGGGCATTGGTTCTAGTTCTGGCTGCTCCACTTCCAATCCAGCTCTCTGCTATGGCCTGAGAAAGCAGTGGAAGATGGTGCAAGTCCTTGGGCCCTTGTACCCACATGGGAGACCTGGAAGAAGCTCCTGACTCTTGGCTTCGGATGGGCTCATCTCCGGCCGTGGCAGCCATTTGGGGAGTGAACCAGCGGACAGAAGACCTTTCTCTCTGTTTCTCCTTCTCACTGTCTGTAACTCTAACACTTAAATAAATAAAATAAATTAAAGTTTTTCTTACACAGCTTTAGGCTTTGGTAAGCATTGAGAACACCAGAGAAACATGTTTTAAAGCTTCACCGACAAGCCTTAAGCAGGAGACATGACTTTTCTTAAGGGATAATGGAAGGTCTTTACTTAGAATGTTTTATTCTAACGTACTATTAGCTACACCTATCAAGGGTGTTTGTTTCCTGACATATATTCTCACAAACTGCACAGAACAAAGACAACGTTGTTTGTCCATTATGAGGCCACACATCACTTGGCAAAAATCTGAAGCACCTGGATAATTTCGAAAAGGAGGTGATTGTTTTTATTTATTATAAAAACCACATCAAGCAAATTATATCAGTCTTCCTGATACAATGATCAAACTGTAGATGTAATAGGTCAAGCATTTGACAACATTTAGAATCCTTAAAACTTAGGGATTAGAGTGTATAATATTTTGTCATGTTTGCTATGTTCCTTGACTCTCAAAGTCAAAATCAATTTTCCTACATTTGATAAAATAAAGAATCAAAAGAGAAATTAGTTAAGATCAAATAAGCCTATTATCTGAACAATGAGAAGTAATAGCTTTACATATGAGAACTTGTAGATGATACAAAACTTTGGCCTGCTATTCAACACATTTTTTTAAACATCTCTGTTGATGGAAGATGCAGATTCCAAAGTTTTCTCCAATAGAGTTAATGAGCTCAATGAAAAATATCTCATGATTTCTTGAGCCCCCATGTGAATAAAGAAAATGACATTCTCATTTAACATTAGCTGGAAAACTGGTGGATGTAAATGTGCTCAATTGCAAAAGAAAAATAAAAGGTTTCATATAATCTGAGATTGATATGAAAGAATACTGCACACACATATACTTCCTTCTTTATTTTTTTTCTTTTTTTTTCCCTGCCCCCTCTTCCTTCTTTATTTTAAAGGAATCGATTCTTAAAACATAAGGCTTGGATTTTGGCCCTGTGCTTTTTGGCAGAGTAAAATTATTGTCTCGTAGTCTGGCAGTACAGTCACCCTTCTAATTTACTTTTTTTTTTTTTTTTTTTTTTTTTGACAGGCAGAGTTATAGAGAGAGAGAGAAAGGTCTTCCTATTCCGTTGGTTCAACCCCCAATGGCTGCTATGGCCGGCACACCACGCTGATCCCAAGCCAGGAGCCAGGTGCTTATCCTGGTCTCCCATGCGGGTGCAGGGCCCAAGGACCTGAGCCATCCTCCACTGCACTCCTGGGCCACAGCAGAGAGCTGGACAGGAAGAGGAGCAACAGGGACAGAATCCGGCGCCCCGACCAGGACTAGAACTCTGTGTGCCGGCGCCACAGGCGGAGGATTAGCCTATTGAGCCAAGGCGCTGGCCTCTAATTTACTTTTAAATAGTTTTTCCCTAATCTGTAGAACCTAACATCTGGCCAACATGAATACTCGGCAACCTCCTGTCTCTTATAGATTTTTTTTATCTGTAAAAATTCAGGAAATAATAACTCTTTGCAAAGTACATTAAGGCACTAATTAAGAAGTAAAAAGAACAAATGGAATTGACTTATAGTTCCATACACTTAGAATTGCAAACCATCATACAGTTTTGAGGTCTGAATTTGCTTGTTTTACAAGAAGTATAATGTTTTGCTCCAAGGGAAATGTCCTCAAGTTACTTGCAGCATTGCTGTAGGATTAATTTTTCTAGGTTGAGGGAGTGGCAAAGTTAAATGCCCTATGAGTATTCTCTTTCTTTAGTGTTTGTTTAAACAAATCATTATCCATTTTTGACGAGTTAAGAAAATCCAAGGGCAAATCATTAAAAAAATTTTTAACTTTTTTTTTCAGTATTACCAACATTGGGCTTTGTGTAACAACTGTGACATCATGACAATGAAGTATTCGTTTTTTAAGCTTTAAACAGAGTAAGCTTTTCCTCCTCTTGTCCAATAGAAATACAATATGTAAATTAACCCATATTATCTGTATGCTGATTGGCTTGACTTCCCCCGAATGTCACAATCTCACCACCCAGCAGTGAGGTATTTTACTGCTGTCTCGAGATCAAATTATTACTGTAGAGAAGATTTTTATTTTTTCTGTTTCATTAACAGAATATTATAAAGCAATAAGCACGCTGGAAGAGCAGCAGACGTTTTACGTTGGGAATTAATGAAAGCACGTCTTCTTGCTTTATTTTTACTTATTTATTTATTTTTTCCGTGGTTAGGGGAGGGTTGTTTAAAATCCACCATCCCCACAAACAAAACTCTTCAGAGACGGTACAATGGGGCAATAATGCTTGATTCTAGAGGCATCCCTAAGCACCCATGTGTCAGGTTAAGAGGTGCCTGTGATATCATCGGACCTTTTGGACTGGTGTAAGTTTTATGTATTCGTCATTTTCCCAGTATTTGTCATCTGTAATAGCAAAGGAGGAAAAAGGAAACTAGTACACAACTCCGTTGACATCACCAGTCGGTCGGTCAGCTGAATTTGCAAGAAGGGGAAAGAAAGAGGGTTGCTGGGTGGGGTGGAAGGCAGGGGATAGCCCTCTAGCATGTGGTTAAGCCTGATTCTTCAGTCATACCCGTCAAGGTGGAATTGATGTAAATCGTTTTGCAGTTGTCCTCTGAACTTAAACGTATATTCGCGTGCATTCGAGAACCGAGCATGGCTAACAAAGACAGGGCTTTCCTAACCTGCTTCCCTTCTTCTTCCCCATTGACAGGATTTTTGCTGTGCTTTTTTTTTTTCTTTTTAAATTTCTCTCCTCCCCCTCCCCCTCCCCCTCCCCTTTTCTTTCTTTCTTCCAGCTAACCTACCAATTCAAAGGTCAGCTGGGGGAATTATTCAAGAATAAATCCGAAAGAAGCTTCCAATGCTTTGGACCTCAAAGAGAAAGGAAGACCATGTTCGGGGAAGGCGAGGGTTCCGGGAAGCTGGGGAGGGGGCGGGCGTCCGGGGCTCGGCTGCCGCTGCGTGCGCTGCCCTAGGGGCACAGGATGGGCCTGAGGTCCTGCACAAGCCTCTCCCAGCCCCCGCTTCACATACCGGCAAGGAAAAGTTCAGAAGCAGCCACACCGGGACAAAAGCCTAGTTTCGCCGGCTGAAGCAGACGGGGCATTCAATCCGCCCAGCCAGCTCTGGAGGGCTCCAGAGAGGCTGGAACAGCCCGGTCGCCGCCCTCGCCGCCGCCGCCGCCGCCGCGGCCCCTGCGTTACTGGGGGAGACGGTGCCGCTGCGACAGGGGAGGACGCGGCTGGAGCTCAAGGAGGCTCCAGCGCGCAGGCGCCGCCGAGCCCTGCCTGGCTGCTCAGTCAAGGCACTAAGGGGGAAAAAAAAAAAAAGAAAAAAGGAAAAAAAAAAAAAAAGAAAAAAAATCAGCAATTTATAGAAAGAAGAAGCTATAGTCTGTCGGGATATCCAACACCAACAGGTAGGAGGATATACTCCCGGTTAAGTTTGGGGGGTGATGAGGTGGGGGAGTGCACGATGTTGATGAAACTGCAGGTTCACCAGGAAAGAGCCCTCTCTGAGGTGGTATTTTTTGTTGCTTTTTTTTTTTTGGACAATAAACTGCATAATGGAAGCACATTCAGACAATGCATCTTCGGTAAGGCTTATTGAGAGCTCCATTTCTGGAAAGCGTTGCGAGACTGAGGAATATCAGACTGCGACTCCCCGGGCACGGTTCCCTTGCAGCACGGAAGCAATGTCTCTCCCCATCTTCGCGTATGTAATGCATGTCTCTCCCCCTCCCCCTCCTCCACCCCCCATTATAAATCCAGGGGTGGCCGATTTCAGGTTTCGTAATGTTGCATGATGCGATCGGTATTTACCCGGGGAGGTACCGGTGGGGAAATTAAAACCATCAAACGCAGTTTTGCCTGGGCTTCCATCGGCATATTCTGGGCGAAGTGGGAAGTGGCAGAGGAAACATGCTTTGTGGGATTAACCGAGGAAGCTAATTTCCCTGGTGTGGCTCCTGAGCACCAAGGAGGCAATGTGCATTTTGTTTTAAAATGAAGTCACTTGAGATTTGCATCAAAGATCATCATTGTATATGGGAAAAGCTTACTTTGCCCAAGAAACACAGCTTCGGGTTAGATTCATTGGCATCCAGGCAGCCAAGGGTTTACAATTGGAAATGCATTATTCCTCTGGGTGTGTTTTCCAGGCCAGTATTTACATTAACCATTTTTAATGAGCATGTGGGCTTAAAAAAAAAAAGATTTGCCAAAACTGAGGGGTGGGGTGGGGAGGGAAAGACAAAAGATTAAACCACTTTAAATCTTGGGACAAGTGCCTATTGATTTTGAAGTGCAATGTTGAAATTATGCTTTGGGATGAATCAACAAATACTCTTATGCAGTATGAGTAGTGTGACACGAGTTAGAAGACATGTATTTTGCAGGGGTTCTTTGAATCCGAATAGCAGCAGAGCCGCTGCCTGTGCAACCCTGCCAGATACTGAAAGACCTCACACCAACATAGGTAGCCTCTTCTGTCTCTATCAGCAATCTCATGGATTCCATCGCAATACTAGTGATTAATTCTTGGACTGACATATTTTACAACTGTGGAGCATTTTATTCCTTCTTTCCTTAAAGTACCCAATCAAATGTATGTTCTCTAGAATTGGGTCTTTTAGAAAATTTACCCAGCTTAGAAAACTAAACAGGGCAATTTTCTAAAATCTCAATAACAATAATCAAAATTAGAACTTCATTTGCTTCCCCATAAATGAATAGCTTGATGTTCACACTGACATCATTGGTTGTTAACTTAAGAACTGATAGTTCTTTTCTTTTTTTTTTTTTTTCCAGATATTCTGATGGCAAATCAAATGGAAGAAAAGAGAAAGCATGACGGCAGACTGCATCAGTTCTCTTTATGGATTACATTTTCAGTAAAATGTATGGATCGGTCTTTTCCTTGTTCTTATATCTAGATCATGAGACTTGACTGAGGCTGTATCCTTATCCTCCATCCATCTATGGCGAACTATAGCCATGCAGCTGACAACATTTTGCAGAATCTTTCGCCTCTAACAGCCTTTCTGAAACTGACTTCCTTGGGTTTCATAATAGGAGTCAGCGTGGTGGGCAACCTTCTGATCTCCATTTTGCTAGTGAAAGATAAGACCTTGCATAGAGCACCTTACTACTTCCTGTTGGATCTTTGCTGTTCAGATATCCTCAGATCTGCAATTTGTTTCCCGTTTGTTTTCAACTCTGTCAAAAATGGCTCTACCTGGACTTACGGGACTCTGACTTGCAAAGTGATTGCCTTTCTGGGGGTTTTGTCCTGTTTCCACACTGCTTTCATGCTCTTCTGCATCAGTGTCACCAGATACTTAGCTATCGCCCATCACCGCTTCTATACAAAGAGGCTGACCTTTTGGACGTGTCTGGCTGTGATCTGCATGGTGTGGACTCTGTCTGTGGCCATGGCGTTCCCCCCAGTTTTAGATGTGGGCACTTATTCATTCATTAGAGAGGAAGACCAATGCACCTTCCAACACCGCTCCTTCAGGGCTAATGATTCTTTAGGATTTATGCTGCTCCTTGCTCTCATCCTCCTAGCTACACAGCTTGTCTACCTCAAGCTGATATTTTTTGTCCACGATCGAAGGAAAATGAAGCCAGTGCAGTTTGTAGCAGCAGTCAGCCAGAACTGGACTTTCCATGGCCCTGGAGCCAGTGGCCAAGCAGCTGCCAATTGGCTAGCAGGATTTGGAAGGGGTCCCACACCTCCCACCTTGCTGGGCATCAGGCAAAATGCAAACACCACAGGCAGAAGAAGGCTGCTGGTCTTAGACGAGTTCAAAATGGAGAAAAGAATCAGCAGAATGTTCTATATAATGACTTTTCTCTTCCTAACCTTGTGGGGCCCCTACTTGGTGGCCTGTTATTGGAGAGTTTTTGCAAGAGGGCCAGTAGTACCAGGGGGATTTCTAACAGCGGCTGTCTGGATGAGTTTTGCCCAAGCAGGAATCAATCCTTTTGTCTGCATTTTCTCCAACAGGGAGCTGAGGCGCTGTTTCAGCACAACCCTTCTTTACTGCAGAAAATCCAGGTTACCAAGGGAACCTTACTGTGTTATATGAGGGAGCATCTGTAAATCTTTAGCCTTGTGAAACACTAACCTTCTCTGCTAAGCAGTTGTGGCCCGTAGCCATATCTTGAGAAGAAATTCAAGAATGGGATCAGCAGTTATGAGGATTTGGGCACCATTCTGCAATCTTTGCAATAGTTCACCTATAATCCTATTTTAAATCTCAGAGTGATCCTGCTGACTGCTGGCGAAGGTTTGTAATTAAGAAAGGATTGAACCACTGCCCTAAGTTTCTTTCTGTGGTGGAAAACTAGATAATGAAAGTAGCAGGTGCTAAGTATCAGTGCTAAATGCTGTGTATATCACTACATATGAAAAAAATCAAAAACTAATTAGCATTGGACATCAATAAATTAAGTTGACATGAGGTAAATGTGTTGATAAAAAACTAATTTTAGACGTTTGAAGACTTTAAAAACATTTCATACTATTTTTCTTTTGCAAAGACTAAAATATTTGGGGACTTAAAGTACTGTAATCTACTCTAAAGATGTGCCATGAATTACTGGAATATTACACTTTAAAGATCACCTTGTAAGTTCTGGGGAGCATTCCAAAGCGGTATATTGGATCCAATTAAGTTTACTCTTTTTTTTTTTGTATTGATACATTATGATTTCTAAATACTATTTTCCTTACCTAGTAGTGAAATTGCTAGCATTGAACTGTATTATGTGGTTTTTGTTGATTTGGTATAAAGTTTTTCCAATTCATTCATATTTTACAAATGCTAGATATTGTTCTGAGAGGCAACATTAATGGTATCAGCCAGTCACAATTGAGCAGTTCTAGTAATACAGAATAAACACATGTTGCCTTAAAGGGTTATCTAGTATCCTTCATGTTATTTAGCATTGGAGCAAATAGTCAAGGGAGATTGAATCAGTAATGGTCATGGTCTGCATCTGGAAGTGCATGGAAGACCCTTTAATACTCCTTTACTTTTTCCTCATATGGTTTGAAAATTAAGGTGCACATCACCAGAATTATGAGATTTCCTTCTGAGATGTGCTACCCATTCTAGTGTGTTCTAAGAAGCAGGCAGTTGATGGATGTTTATATTTTCAGTCAGCTGTCAAGAGGAGACCATAGCCTTAGTATGATATCCTGCACAATTTGTGAAGCATTTATTCTACTGAAGGCACAGTCTTGTTTATACTTCCTGCACATTCAGTGTATTGGTCGTTTAAATTATTTCAGTTTAACTTGTGAAAGCTTATAATATGATTTCTGGTATTTTAGAAATACATTAGATTCTGTGAGTCTCATTCTTTAAGATACAGATGTGTGAACTTCAATATAAAGTTGCATTTGCCAAAATTTCCCCGTGTAGCCTGTTAATTTTTTTGGAATCAATTATCTATTTTTGGCATATAACAATTTTATTTTTAATCCAGAGGCAAGCACAAACTAGGAAGGGCAGCTTTATTTTGGCTTTATTTTTGATTTTTATAGCTACTATATTCTAGAAATGGCAATGTATAAAAGATAGCATAAAGCTGATAAATTGATATAATAATTTCTATAGGAGCATTATTTGGTAGTTATCACAATCATCTCTCTATTCACATGCCAATAATATTTACAGATGTACTCCTATTTCATTAATTACTTCAGAATTTTAACATAAACATCACTATTTAATTTCAAGCATAGTAGATAGTTTTAGTTCTAAATATATAACTTGTAAGAAAAATGATTTACAATATCATTATGACAAAACCAGAAAAAATGTATTTATTTCTGTTTACTTTCCATTCATTTTTTTTTATGTTTTGTATGTGGAGTTTTTGGTATTTGAAAAAGATTAGGAATCTAATGGAACAGAATTTCATATTGCTATAGTATTTAAGCAAGCAGAATATTATACGTATAAATAAGGAAAAATAAATCATTGAAATGTTTCAATGAAATATGCAACTACCCAGTTTTGCTCATATTAAGAACAGCTCAAGCCATGATTTAGTGAGCACTCTGACCTCATTTTTACTTTCCACCAAAGTTGATGGGATCTGAGACAAAGTTGAATGTACAATGAGTTGTATCTAGCAATAAAATACTAAAAACCATTATCTAAAACACAAAACAGGAAACTTATCAAAAAGATATTCATTATTTTTCCAACTCAAAGAAATTTATAGGAGAGACACAACTAAAATAATCACACTTATGGAGAACTTTGCTTTGGGGTTCAAATATCACCAGCAATCAACAGAAAACTCAGCAATAATATTGAGGTCAGATGAAGTAGGTTTTACTAACACTAGCTTCCATTAAACGGACAACAAAACTGAGGTGTAGATTTTGAGGAGTCCAGTACAAGAGCCTGGTGAGGCTGCCTGATTTTCCTTAGCCACTTGGAATAACAGATTTCAACAGTTTTGGCAAGTGACCAGTTCCCGTGATCCATGTGTAAGGCTGAACTTTTACTGACTTTTGGTTAAACCTACTCTTGACTAATGTGGCATTTGCAGGTCAAGTGGGAAGCAGTGGATGAGAGTCATCCCTAGCTAATTATTTCCACTTGGAAATCAATGAAAACTAGTAGTAAACATACAAAACAAAAGGCTGCTTCAGTGTCTTAATGACCTAATCACATTATCTATTTTGGCACCCGTTTCAATATTCAGTATTTGAAAACAGTTTGTAACTAATTCAACTTGAAAATGTTACTAATCTTCAACCTATAAGATTAGATACCCTCTAGGGAGCCCAACTTCCCCAGGAGAAAGGCCCATTATGAATAATAATGCATCCCTCTTGGACTCATTATGCATATGAGTTGAATAGTCTTTAAATTGTTTTCCATAATAGTGGTGATGTACTTGCATGGATGTGTCTATACTGTTTCATCTAGTTCCTTTTGTGCACAATGGATTTATTTGTGAGATGTCTGGCTGGAGCTAAGCATTCAGTCTGTGTTTGTAAAATCCTATGTTGATATTAAGTAAGAAAGAGGAGAGTAACTTGCCCAGTTCCCCTACAGAGACCCTATTTAGATAACATAAAATTAACCATAGTGAATAGATGAAACAAATTACGTGTAGATAGGACACTTTATGACTGATTGTTGTTAGCTTGTTGGATTTCAATGCCAGCATTTTACATAGAAGTTAACTGATTTGTTGTTATTAACACATGGATGTGGCCACTTACCCATTTGCCTGGACTTCCATGAATGCTTTCTGATCATTTATTTGTTTATTCATTCATTCAACAAATGTATATAGGGCACTGGGCTTGGTACTGGCTTGGTAAGTGGAAAACAAGTCAGAACAGTCTCTTATTGAGATATTTTAGTCTAGTGGGAGAGAAACAGTATATGCAAGGCTACTTCAAAAAGCTCATGGAAAATGTGTATTATGAAAAAAAAACTATGCATATAAATATATCACCAAAATAAATGTATCTTCCATTTTCCATGAACTTTTTGAAGTTGTCTTGTATGTTGCAATGATTATGAGTGTTAAAATCATAAGCATTCCTTTATGCTTCGTATTAATGGTTATAAATTTACTGTTCTCCACTTTCCCTTTGATTCTTTATCTGCTATCTTTGTCCAATATTCCCAGGGGTTTCTTATCTCATATTCCCTCAACTCAGAAGGAAATTCATAATTCTACTCAAAGTATCAGAATTGTTTTACCCACATTTGGATGAATCACTATATTGTATATTAGAACTAGTTCCCAAGTTGTTAATTCTGTGTACAGTGAAATCTAAATTCCAAAGTTCCCTGTAAAATCTGACTGTTCACTTGCACAAGCATTATTTCAATTCCTTCAAGAGTCCCAGAGGTGAGTCTTTTCTGCCACACTCACACCTTCTTGCAAGTTAGCATAAGAATCCCTGGGCAAAGTGCATATCTTAGTGATGACTCTCCTGCTCAAGCAAAAATGTTAGTACCTTGCTAGACTGGGTGCATGTCTTTAATTATTACTGAAGCATGCCACCCCTTCAACATTTTTGTTCCTCCTTACTGGGGCTACAACAAAATTATCTAACCCCCTAATAGCTGAAAATTTGTTTTGGCCTCTAGAACTTATTTCTATTGCAAACACAATGAAGTGCATTTATAATTATTTCAACATGCACCTTTCATCTAAGTCTTTTGATGGTAAATTGTGTTGTAACTGGAATTACTGTATGACAGTGATAAGCAGAACCAAAGCTCTTCACTTTTGCTTATTTACCATTAGAGACTTGGTTTCATTCTTTATTTAATTCCATGTGGAGGATAGGCTATATTGTTATTAAAACTAAAAAGCAGCTTACATTAATCTCATACTAGAAAGAAAGATGCTAGGATGATAAATGGTCATGTTTCAAATAGAAGCTAAAGATGTTAATCAAGGAAGATGATTACCAGAGTTGTGGCTTATTTACAATTCCAAAATCTTATGAGTTTGTTTTTCTGTGCAAAAATACATTATGTTCATGTTTGTTAATATTCTCTTAGAAATACTTTGAATGGAAATTGCAGGTTCTACTAAGATAATTGTTGCTGAACGTTTTTGTTGTTGTTCTCACCTGTGGACATGTCTCTGTTCTCTGACTTCCCAGTTCTCTCAGAAACTCTTTTGACACCACATTAAATGCTAGCATTGCTTGATTTCAAGGCCCAAATTTATCATCAGTTTGCAGAGAGGTTAAAATGAAGATATCATTTGTAAACGATTATTTTTGCCATCACTGGAAACAGTTGAGGAAGTTAAAGGTGTAATGGGAAACCGGAGCAATGTAGGTAAGGCTGATAAATCTAGCTTTCTGCTGCACTGTAACATGCTCTAAAAGTGTGTTGTAACAAAAGGCTTTAGCTTTCTACAAAGGTTATATAATTAAGACTTGAGTTTTAAAGTGGAGAAAGAGCTCTTACATCATTCCCCTTTGCCAAAAGAATGATGTCCATTAGCTGCTCAAACCCTTTGGGTTAAAAGGCTTTTAACGCCAGCTTTTTTCTCACCATATCACTCAGTTCAAGAGCTAGGGCCTGAAAGGCCCCAGAGGCTGTGTTTGCCTCTGAGTGGCTGCCTTAAAAGGCCTCAAAGAAGCCACAGGTGGTTGGGGTTTGGAATTATTCACACCTGGCATTCACAACAGCCCCCTAGCTCCTGACATCATCCTGAGAAAGACAGTTTTCCAAGTTTGCCTCGGAGGCAGAAAAAAATAGTTCCATCTTCTCTGTGTGTTTGGAAATATAGTTTCTTGACACAAATATTAAAATTGATACTGTAATGCCTGTCCTGGTTTAGGGGGGATTTGAGGAGACTATGCTATAAATAAATACACTATTTTGAAAAATACTGTAATTTACATGCATATATGTAAGATCATGGGATGAGGAAGCAAGTCTTTTTTTTTTTTTTTTCAATTTTTTGACAGGCAGAGTGGACAGTGAGCGAGAGAGACAGAGAGAAAGGTCTTCCTTTGCTGTTGGTTCACCCTCCAATGGCCACCGCGGCCAGTGCACCGCGCTGATTGGATGGCAGGAGCCAGGTACTTATCTTGGTCTCCCATGGGGTGCAGGGCCCAAGCACTTGGGCCATCCTCCACTGCACTCCCAGGCCACAGCAGAGAGCTGGCCTGGAAGAGGGGCAACCGGGACAGAATCTGGCGCCCCGACCGGGACTAGAACTCCGTGTGCTGGCGCCGCAAGGCGGAGGATTAGCCTAGTGAGGCGCAGCGCCGGCTGCAAGTCATTTATAATACAGTGAGAAGTGATTTTGGCATTTAAAGATTTTACAGCTGAATTGATAATTTGAACTTAGTTCAAATTAATTGATTGTTTCTTTTCATAGTTTTAAGGGAAAAAAAGATGAGAGGAGTTTGTTCTTCTCCAACAATAAAAAAAATCAGCATTCACATTTTTTAATTATAAAAGAATTTTTGATCACTTTTAGTAAGCATTTTTATTTATACAATTTTTTAATCTTTCTATGCCTCATCAATAGAAAGGGGATTATAATAGTATCACACCCTACAGTTACTGGGGTGATTCAAGAGTACTTCCTTGAGAAGCTGGTAACAGGAAGGCTGTCATCTTTCATCTGATTTACAGGGGCTGGCTGGCTCTCTCCTAGTTCACCCTTTTGCAGCACAAACATTATGAGGCAATGTGATAAGTGCTGTGAGGGAGATACATGAGGTAAGTGTTAAAGGAACACAGACAAGCAATTAGCCCTGTGGAGGTAGGAGAAGGAAGGTGAGAAAGAAAAGTCTAAAGGATAATTGTAATTTTCCCCACTTGATGAAGTTAGGAAAGCCATTTCAGACAGAGGGAGTAGAAGGAAGAGCAAAGGCAGGGAGATTTGAAAACTCGTGATGCATTTAACATGAGGATCTGCCAGTCAGAGAAGTTTATGTGGCAAAGCTGAGGTTTAGATACTGGACTGCAAGGGCCAGCGTAGCATAGTGGCTAAAAGGCATGAGATTGGAAGGTTTGAGTCCTTATTCTGTTCCCTACTAGCTTTATGGTTTTGAACAAGCTAGTTAAACTCTGATTCTCAATTTGCTTATCTCTAAATTGAGGAATAAGTAGCAGCAACTATTGTGAAAGGTTTGCTTTGAAGATTAACTGAGATAATAAGTGATAATTATTATTTGTTATTACCTACAATGCCAAGCACTGTTCTAAACTCTTTTCATTTATTAACTCATTTGAATATCACAGGAAGTAGATGCTATTAATATCAGTGAAGAAACTGAAGCACAGACATATCAAGCAACTTGCAGTTAGTAACAGGCAAAGAGCAGGGATGGAAGGCACTTAGTGCAATATCCCGCCCAGAGTAAACATTCGGGAAATGTCAGCTGCTAGTGCTGTGCTGTTGTGGCTCATTTTAACCAAATCACTGCAGGTCAGGGACCAATGGGAGCAGAAGTGACTGAGCAGACAGCGCTCCACGCCTGCAGAACTCAGCCCTGCCTTGCTGTTTGCCCTCATTTCCCACTGAGACTCTGAAGGAAGCAAGGATTAGTAGTAGGTTATGAATACCTCTGTCCCCTTTCATACAGCATCGTGGTGCAGCAGAAACAGGAGGATCCATTTGATTGTTCAAATGACTTTTCAGAAGGACCTCGCTCAGGTTTTAAAAGTGGGTTACACAGCTCACACCAGCAGGAGAGTTTTACCTAGATTTATCTCCTATTCAGAGCTAAATCAGTTTTGTCACATCCTATGTAAAAGGGATGTTAGAAATGGATGATCTTTGCAGGCCAGGTACAATTCATTTCAGCAAGGCTGTTAAAACTCCCTTTAAAGGCCCTCCTTCCAGGACCACTGTTTCCATTCTGTGCACCAAAGAGTTACATCGCACTTTCTACTTGGAAATGTCTCCATGGCCTTCTGTTAGGCTAGTGTTTATATGTATGCATAGCGATGGGATGATTCACAGGGCATATGGCAGAATTACCTAAGTACTGCTTGCTTGGCCCTCAGGCATTGCATGGTCTCAACACCTCTCTAACCCCTGACTCTCGGGCAGGAGATTACCCACCTGTCAGCCAACCCTTCACTACCTTTCCCTAAGCTGTTTTGCCCACTTGAATTCCTTGCTTTCATCCCCTTTGAGTTTCACTCTTTTTATGTGACCTCTTACTTTATAAGTCATTGTACCGAAAGCAATTCCATCTTCAAAAGTGGTAGCTGCTGTCATCCCTGCAGTCCATCTTGGTGGCATCCTTAGTTGCAGTAAACATACTTTCTATATAATCATCCAGTGCAGTGGAGAAAAGGGTGTCAGCCTTGGTGTTAGGAGCTGGTCTGCTGATCAGCTGCAGGCCGCGATCGATGCGCTGGACCCTTCGTTCCCTCACTGTGTAATGAAGGGATTGACCGCTGCGATTCCTCTGGCTTGGAAAAATCTATGATTTGTCTATCTGGGTCACTGCTGTTCCCAGGACATTGTTCATGACATGATTATTCCTAACCAACATAGCTACCCACAACTGACACTGGTCCACTGAGAGCCAATTCCTGGGAACAATATTTTAAATAGGCTCCCCACTACGCAGTTGTAAGCCCAAGGTGATCCCAGCCTGTTGATCTCAACACCAGAGAGTATCCATAGCACACTGAGATACTCCATCACTGGGCCTCTGCTTTATTCATGTGCTAACTTCCTGAAACCATTCTGAATTTTACTCAGACAGACTTGACCCTGTGCTTCCACTCCAAATGCCCCAGTTGTGGATATTGAGTTCTGTGATTCCCTGTTACCTTCTAAATTCTATTATATGTAATTTGTGGATTTCTTTTAGAGGCCACCGAACTTGTTTCAAGTCCCTGTTTATCTGAAACATAAATTTAGGAAGATGTCCTAGGTCTTCTACAGGCTGTGGTTTCAGAATGATTGATCTTTGCACAGATACTTAATAAGTACCTACTGTATATAAGCAGTTGTACAGGGTGCTTAATAAATCTTTTAATCAAATCTAGTGTTGGTTTAGGGCTTATCTACACTTCAAGACTTATAAAATGAATACAAATCTAGCTTTTTTTGTAATTGTTTTTGCAGTGCCTTACATATGTGAAGACATCGACTTTTAAATTCAAACCAGCACAGAAGTGTTTTCCTAATATTTTTAATCATACTCCAATGCTTAGATTTAAATGGCTATGATTAATGTGTTTTTATTTAGAATTTCTGATATATAGTAACAAAATGATTTAATTATTATAAAACACCCTCTTTCTATTTTAAATGTAGTGGCTTGTTGACGTTTAAAAAATGAACTGGAAAAGATAGTATTATTATCATGTTGTTGTTAGCTATGAATAAAGAATTTGATAGTTAACATGGGAAAATATTCATTTATCCTAGAACTCAAAATTCAAGGGAACAAGTGTTCCTAGTTTTACATGGTCCTGATATGCTTGCAATGCATTGGAAATCCTGCATTATTATTGCCCCAGTGCTTCCATATAAGATGCCACTCAGTTCCCCGGTGCAGAAAGAACCTGTGTTGTTTCCTGTGATGGCGTTATGTGTTGTGCCTGGAAGGTCTTGGGCATTTTCTGTAGGGCTTGAGATCCAGTGCTTTGTTTTCCCATCATGGATTTGAAAAATTGTCATTTTCAGGAAGAAAAAATAAGTGAAGAGAAAGACATTTTCTACTATATTGAGTCTTGCCAAAGAAGATTTGCTGTCTGTTATAATTTTAAAATCAAATTAAATTACATATGCATAACAAAATGAATTCTCATAAATATTCAATCAAGAATTATCCCATTTTAACCAATTAAAACTACACTTACACTGATCATGATGAATTTCAGTGTGTTCATCACAAAGAACAAAGAGAAAACATAAAGGAAATTGAGGAACCACCTTCTTGCCTTAGTTGCTTCTATATGGCAGAAGACAAAAAAGAGTAGGTAAATGTGTTTCGTCATTAGCAGCAGAAACCAAGATAGAACATTATGGAGTTATCAAATAGAAGCTACATAAGAAATGAAAAAGGATGGTAAGGTTTTTTCAGTGATGGGAACCAGTCACATAAGAAAAATAAAATCTTCATGAGTAGTAAAATTTGAAGTTTAAAAGTAATTACACACACACATAAAAAAAAAAAAAAAACAAGAAGAGAGAAAAGAAAGGAAGGATAGGGCCA